TGAATCGGTTCACAATTTATATGCCAGAGACAATAGTTTTTAATATTATTTCATGTTACTAAGATATTCATGATTCTATATTTATGTTTCGTTCATCGAGAAATATAAGTAAATAATGAGAATTCATTGCAATAATGTTTAAACTCATGAATAATTATCTTTCGTGTCCAGAAGTTTTTTTTATATCTTTTACAATTTGTAATTTAATCGTTTCGTTAAGTGAGTGTCTAAAAGAACGACGTATATATATATATACATACTTTGTAACGAAATATAAAGTATTCATCTGGCAAATCGTTTAAGTATTAAAAGAAATTCAGTTCTCTAGTCTCAATATTAATATTAATACTACTTCCGACGCTTGAATTCCTATACAAAACTTCATACACTAGACAGCACATTTACAAGATGTGTCAACAAATAAAATAGAGTTTTAGTTAAAATTCCTAATCATTCCATAACATAAAAATAATTTACATTGCTCAATTACGAATACATTAGCACTTTACCGACTGTTCGTTTAACAAATTGACACGGAGCTGAGTTTGTTTTTAAATGAAATTTGTAAAAAGTACCTATATTATAATAACAATTATTATCGTACGTTCGTTACCAATAACGCCCAAAAGCTAATTAATAAGTGTCTGGTTTCGAATAATTGATTTAATTAACCGATGAAATGTGCTGCAGTGGGTAAAGCGTTAATACGAACGCACAAAAGCATTGCTAGTGTAAACTTGCTATCTAGTGTACATACCCTTATAAAATCGATGCAATAATCGAATTAATATGTGTAATTTGAGACCACGCTTTTTCTATGTAACAGATTGACATTCCGCGAGCTGTGCAATGATCGAAACAATTTTTACAACTATTTTTGTGAAGAAATTCTATCTTATAGCCCGCTTACAATAAATAAAAACGTGAGTTTCTATTGTTTAATACCGAATTTATGGGCGTGTGTAACTTACCAATTATAGCATAAGGACCTGTGAACATAGGTGGAAATTTTCCCTTTTATTATACTGCATTTCTATTTTCTCTACATGCTTCATCTTTTATACGATATATTTTTATCTGCTCTTTATTTTTCATGCACAAGCGAGATTTAATGTTAAAATTGTAATTTTGATAAAACTATTTGTAATTTACTTATAATTTTAAGGAAAGCGGGGCAAATTAAGTGTATTGTGTAAGGAATAAATGCTACTGTCAAACATTTATTTGTGAGTCGTTAATATCTTAATATTTCATTGTGTTCTGTGTCAGTGTATCTTTTTCTACTCGCAGTAAGTTGTAATTAGGGAGATTTCACGATTTTTCTAATACCGATCCGATACTACCGATTCATATCAATTACCTTTACACGCGAAACGTAATAATATTGAAATCATTCATATCCTTGAAAACATATGATAATGAAACTCAAGTTGAGATGCAATAATGTAACTCCTGCAAACAATCGTTCCAACTGCATACAAAGCAAAAGTTATGTAATGCTACAGAAAACACAGGTTTTATTCTTAAATAAAAATTTTATAAACATGTACAACATAATGTCATTTGTGTCAGTTCTCCAGTGAATATCTGTTCTTTTTTTTCATTGATACGTCATAATGTTTACTAAACATTTCTTTCAAACATGGATAGAAGAGATGTAACAGCGGTAACTGTGGTAACGATACAACCATGTTATCGTAAGCCAAGCCAACATCCTTGTATTCTTCTGGAAGTTCCGAAATCTTTGAGTATCGTTGACTGAAGTGCGTTAACAGAGTGAATTTTGCATTCATCGATATCCCAGTGTTTATTGCTTCAGCCGTTGTCGAATGCATTTTCATTTTAGCCAACTTCTGAAGATAATTCTCCATTGTTGCTTCATGAATTAATAAATCACAATCTTTACCTATCTCTACAAGATTTTGAGATGGCATTGCGTCACCACTAAAATGAAAATACAATTGAAACAACTAGTCTCGTTTGATACGTTGACTGCTATTGTGGTCATCGATGGTAGACACTTCAGAATTGCTCGAAGACAGTTACATTATGTAAAATAAAATACAATGTTTAACGGAGTAAGTAACTAAATAATAGTGTAACGTGAAAATTGTAAAACCAAATAATTAATCGTTGTTTCTATTTATCTTTGCTATGAAAGAATAAGTAATACATGAAACGATCAAGACTCCTATGGCAGTCAACGTGTTAACTTTAATGGTTTTATTTATACTTTACCTGTAAACAATCTTTTGCCCATTATTTAGAGTAACCGAAATGCCAAACGCATTTCTACAATGTCTGACAAGAGCAGTATTCAACTGTTTAATATTCAATGTCTCATAAAATATATTCTGAAAGGACTTAGTTACTTTTGTAGATTGGAGAAAATGCATATTGTTCGTTATATTACATAAATGTAAAATTGGTTCCAATGTGTGGTACGTGGTTAACCATGTTGCGATTTCTTGCGGTAATAATAAATATACTTTATCAGTTGTGTATTTTTCCCTTTCTTTTAATATACCAATCGTTCCTGTGTGGTGATCGGCATGCTTGTGCGAAATAAAAATAGCCTAGAAGAAGAAAATTGTTTATATATCTTTACTTAACTAATACATTTTTATTACCTGTATGAAAATAAATATACCATTTAATTCTGTTTATAACTCTATAACAAAGCATTTAATAGTAAACTTTATGTAACATTTTTTTTGCCTGTTAATTAAATTCTCACACTTTGATCATTTAAGTTGGAGACATTTGTATATAATGTACAATTTATTTATATAATAATTTTATATTAAAATATACTAAACGTACCTTAATGTTTTTTATAATATTTCTAGCTTCTGATATCCCAAAAAGTCGAACAATTTGGCAAAAAGTTCCTTCTGAGCAATCCATTAATATATTGTGATGTTCATCAATCCTCAGAAGAATAGCACTTGTATTTCTTATTTTATTTGGTAAACTAGAACCAGTACCTAACATAACAATTTGTGGGTATTTACATGCATCTTTTAATCCATATTCTGCTGTTTTTTCTTCAATTTGGCATCGCAATGCAGTCAATGACTCTGTAAAAGCTGGATTTTTCAGAACTTCATTGACATATGTCTCTCGTTTCGGAGAAATCTTATAGTTTTTTATTACAGAGAAAACTGGACGTATTCTTATACTGTGCATTGTTCTTCCACGATGAACATTCGTAAGCTCCATCTGAAATAAAATAATTGGAATATTTGTAATAAATAAACAATATAACGCGCGCACGCGTTTGTGTGTGTGCTTCTGATATCACCGTGCCTTACTTCATTTTCTTCCTTTAAGCTATCTTCACTTAGCGGAGGAAATATTTCAGAATGCAACAAGTTTAATAAATGCTGTTGTTTATAAACACCTTCACTTCCTAGACAAGTATTTTCTTCATTTAGTACTATATGTTTCGTAGACATTCCAAATGCTTTTATCCATGTCTGATATTCTGAACGATTAAAAATTTTTGCTGGAGTAAAATGGTATACCAGAACTTTTGCATAATTATCCGTGTTTAAGAATTTAGGATTTTTTATAACAGATTCTAAATATTCCTCGCTTGGACAATCTATGACTGTAAAAAAATCATTGAAAATAATAATTATTAATAATGCACAATTTTTCGATTATTTAATATTTCTAATTACCAATAACAGCATCTTTAGGACCTTCTGGCTCGCAGACATCTGAACTACGTACAACTGTGCCATCTTCTTTGGTAATATTAAATCCATCTTTCAGTAATCTTAAATGCGGTCCAACCTTTATACCCAATTTTTCACATTTTGACATTATTAATCTACCAGGTCTTGGATTAACTTCACAAAAGCAACAGAATACTTTTTTCATAGTCTTTAATTTCTTTTTTCCATCTGTTATATCTTTCTCTGTTTCTGTGGTATTAATAACCCTTTTTCCATTATCATTCGAATGACATGGTGTTTCTTTATTTGTATCTAAAGTACTTTCTGTATTTTCTGAAGTCTTGTATACAGGAATGTACCAAACAGTTAATACATGATCTTTATATGGTTTCGATTCATCAATGGGTATATAATTAAATTTAAATTTTGAAAAACATGCAAGTAGTTGAATTATACTTAGAAACTCAATTATTTCTTCTGAACTGTGAATATTTACTTCAGATGTATATCCTTGCATTGATAAAAGCAAACCTGTCAGCCCTCCAACATTTTGCCAAGTAAAATTTGTTATAAATATATTCTCTATTTTAGACAATTTACAACGATGTTCTTGGGCTAATCGTTGCGTTCCTTCTCCGCAATTAAATATATAATTACAATGGTCGGAGGAAATAAACAAATTCTTTGGTGCTCCGGGAGCACCACTTCCGAGAACCTACATTTAAAATAGTTTCTTAACATGAAAATGGTATTTATTTAAAAAAATTGAATAGAATAATTCACTTATAATAGTTAATTTTACTGTTAATGATATTATGAAATCATTTATAATTACATGGGATATTAGATTAGAATTTTTGTAAACTTTGTTTAATTGTTTCTTTTGACTCATTGCTATGTCACAATACAATTTCTCTATATCGTTAATAGCACAGCTGGAAAGCCTGATGATTTGATAAGGAAAATATTCACTGAGATTGCAAAATTTTTTAGTTAGTTGTGACATTACCAGATTCCTTATAATGTTGTTTATCATAATAATTCTGAAAAAAAATGAACTTTAACCTCTTAATTACTTATATAAATTTTATTCATAGTTACCTTTAAATTCTAGAAAACATGTATTCTTCACGTTAACCTTATTTGTAAATCACGAACGAAAAGCATGTGAATTAACTAATTTTTTAACACGGTATTAAATAAGAAATGTAACATACATTTATTTATACACTCATTATATAAATTTATACAAATATGAGCACCAATTATTTTGAATACAACATTTATTTATTCCAGTAAATCCTTCCTTCCATGAACGTTTCAGTGCGTATAAAGAAATACGTATATGACGTTATTCTAACATCATCCGACCGTATGATACTATTGTAGTAAAGATGTTGTTATAAATAAGTAAGGTTGGCCTGAGTTAGAATTTAACTAATGTCACGAATTTTATGCTTGTGAACTATACGTTTGTTATTTAAAGAAATGTGACATTAATGTTACGAAAAGTTGTTAAAATTGTTTAATAGCAAAATACAAATACAAAATCTTTTTATTAATATTTTGTTTTGTATTTTGTAGTCTTTAAAAAAATCTCATTTTTTAACAGAAACCCTTAAAACCATTAAAACTATAGAAAACAGGTCTTTTAATACGGTAATTCTATTTCCTATTGGTGAATTTTTTAAAAAGGATAACAAAATCATTATATATATATGTGTATTACTTATATGCGTATATATGATACTGAACAGATGCATGAAGATATTCATTAATATAGTTTCTTTAAATATATGTTCATTGAATAAAAAGAGCTCCAATTAAAAAATTCAGGTTTTTATTTCTGTACTCAATTATTAGTAAACATTAGGTACATTGATAATTTTTCCTATTATTACACCCAAATGGTTCATATGTTTTGCAGTAATTATAATATTTTTAATGTTTATTACAGTGCATAATTAACAACACAATACATATTCATAGATTAAATTCATTGAAATACATGTATGTTACAAAACATTGTATAGTTATTAAACATTAATATTTTAAGTTCACAAACATTTAAGTTTTATTTAAATATAACAACATTTAACTATTTATCGAACAAAATGAAATAAAAAGAAAAAGAATATCACTGTAAATGAAGTATTTATAACATGTATAATACAAAAGTTTATATTCTTTAGATATATTTTTCAATACTTAATGAAAAATGTTCTCAAAACTGTTTTTGAACAACTGATACGTATTGTTCAAATCAGGGGATCAGAATGTTTCACTTCTAGTTACGAATAAGCTGAATAAAGTAACTTAGAAGAGTTTCTGGTGTGCACACATGCACACGTATTCTCGTGTTTTGCATTCCAAAAAATATTCAAGAATTTTGAATCACAACTCTCTTTGTGTATATAGAATTGTTCACAAATTTTAAACAAAGTACAGTGCATAATAAAGTACTATAAAAGCAATGTTCTTCTACAACAATTTGAATTTTATAAACTGTATAAAAGAGGTATACTAAAAAGGAACAGATAAAATGCAATCTTCTTCTAATAACAGCTAATTATTAATAGATAATGAACAGTAATAAATCAATCTGTATTGTTAATATTATTAGCTAAGTAAATCCATTATGTCCTGTGAAGGTAAGTTTTGAGTCTTCTGATTTGGAACAGTATTCAAATTTGAACTGAATTCCAATTGATTAGGTACTAAGTTTCCTTGACTGATAGGATAATTAATCGTATTTTGAGGAATAGTTGAATTCCATGTAATTTGATTAGGAGCCCAATTAGTTGTGTTTCGATTTAAATTTACATTCATTCCTTGTGGGCTGAAATGTTGATGTGAATTTAAATTTGAAGACATGCAGGAATAATCAGGCTTTGAACTTGATACTGATCGATTTAATTGATCTAAATTGGACTGTAATAACGTATCGGTTAAGTCTTTTATCTGAGGTTTCTTGGGTTGCTGTGGAATAGCTTTCGGTGTTAATGGTGGTTGAGATTGTAAACGTTGGTGTACTTCTTGTTGTTGAATTAATCTGTAAAATGTAAAGAATTATATTTCATGAGCTAAGAATCTTCACTTGCAAACATTCAAAAATAATTATTTTTACTCGCCGAAATTTATCTTCCATTGTCAAACCATTTTCAATTTGTAGAGACTGCAAATTTGTATTTGTATTTGTATTTGGAGAACGAATTGGAGGGATAATATTAATAGCGTCAGTAGTGGAATTAGTATTTTTGTACATGTTAGAGGTTTGTGAAAGCTCTTGATCAAGTTTTTGTGTTTCATGACGCATTGCATCCAATTTGCTCAATGCTTCCTTATGTTCTGTTGTTACACGATTTATCATTTCAATTACAAGAGTCGAAAGAATTTCATACTGCGATGTACTAAAGTTTTGTTCTATACATAATGGTAATAAAAATGGTAAAATCTTTGTTGCTAATATTTCTTTGCTCGCTCCCAACTTACTGTGATTCAGTAATATTCTGTAAATTCCTAGTAAAACAGAAATTATTGAACATTATTATTTTATTCCATTATTTTTCATTTTTTAGATATTATAAAAGTTGAATATACTAGAATATTTATATATAAAAGTACTCTAATATAGCAATGCGCATATTTAAAAGCTACATGTAACATACATGTACATACCTATAATGGCCATTAGAATTGCAGGTTCACCAGAATGTGGAATTTCTTGCAAGAAAGGTAACACTTGATCAAGAACCAACCATCGATCAAAATTTGGCAACATTCTTGCAAGACACAAAAGACAATTAACTTTTACACTAAGGCTTTTAGCACTACTTCCTTTGCCATGTAAACAAATTTTTTTCATTCGAGGTAGAATTGCATTTTTAATTACTGGTCCTTCAATCATTGTTATAATATTAGGCAGAGCTGACAAACATAATTCTTGTAATTGTTCCCATTCAGATTCCAAAGCACGCAGCAGCATTGGGACCACATCTGTTTTTATTACTTCTGTAGTACATAGTTTTAACAGTAAGTCAACATGTTGCATCAATACAAGGCTAATTTGCGGTGGATCATCCAAAGTCAAAACTGGTTTCATATTTGGTAAAATATATTCTCTAAATTCTTCTACAGAACTGGTTTCCATTGCATATAATATACTTGGCAAGATAAAAGGAATCATTGGAGGGTTAATTAATTCTTTGTATAATGCAGGGAGTACTCTGTGTAATATAACCCTGTGCGGTAATTGCTTTAACAGCTGTGGTAATCCTTTGTAAAATTGTGACTTTTGTAAATTATCCCACTGAAAAATTTTATCCAAATAATTCAAAGTTTTTACTTCTATGTCCGTGAAGTAATCAATTTTAACAAATTGATGAGCATCCGGTCTTAATTCAGGATTATGATTTAACATCAATTTCACCGTGTCTCTGAGAGACTCTGGAACTGATATAAGTTTAGAAGTAACAATTGAACCAGTCAAGTTTTCCAGAAACTTTTTGCATTTTGTTAAATCATTATTACACTCATAGAGTGGTACATTCATTGCAGAATGTAAAACATATGCTACCATTCCTAAAGAAAATATGTCACTGGCAGAACTAATGCTACTTGCCAATATACATTCTGGTGCTTGGTAATTTAAATTTGGCTGTGCAACAGCTGATAGCGACATATCATATTCGACGTATGACCATAAAGGTTCTTTGCTTTCTACACTTTGATTTAATGCACAGAAATCAAATCCAAAAATCTTCCATGCTCCATGACTGTTAATAACAATAGATTCTGGACATATGTTTCTATGCAATAATTTTACATCTTCGTGTAGAAATGCTAAACCTTCGCCAAGTTGTAAAAGTCCATATTTAATTTCAACGTCGTGCAATTTATAATCTTTTAAAGCTGATGGTAACGGCTGTGGTAAATTATAATGATTTCCTAGGACATTAGCTAAACTGGCTAACACAGGTTCAGTTGCAAATGCCAAACTATCTCTCGATTCCTCTAATGGATGTTGTACAGTTAAAATTTGTGGGTGTCGTAGTTTTGTCAGTTGTGTAACACCTCTTTTCAGAGTTTCCAAAATCACTTCTTTATCATTCTTGGAAAATTTATCAAGAACTCGTTTTTCAAATACAAAAATTGCTGCCTCTTGTTTAGTGGACTTTTTATAACCATTATAAACTTTCCATAACAATGTTGGACCCGCGCTTCCTATGTGTGCAGATATCTCAAATTCTCTTGTAACTGGATTTCCTGGTAGAACATTTGATAATTGGGATAAACCATAAGCGGTATTTTGAACAGTGCTGGTAATCGTGTTGCTAACAGTATTTCGCAATTTTGTCAACACATCCATTTTCGTCCACTTTTTAAAGCATATACTCGAAAATTAATTTTCTTGCAGATCTGTAATAAGTTCGTACAGTACGATTTTCTCCAATAAATTTACGCCTATTACGTCATTTTCCAATCTGTTGTTTTACACTGAATTGTCAGACTTTTTGTTTTACACGTTACAGTAATAATGTCTCACTTTTCCCTGCATCTAAATATATTTTGTTTGTGACGGAATTAAATAACACTCCTTCACACTCTACAAATGTTATTAGACATTTAATTCGTGAATTCTACATTCGAAGACGTCGCACGTAACGCGGAAAGTATCCAATTTCGACGGTGCTATATTTCGTGCAATCACCCTTAAAGGTATATCCTTTAATCCAGGAAAATATGAAAATTTCGATACACACTGACAGAACATGTATCTCGCTCATCGCATCACATTGGCACTTAGTTCCTTGACCATAGCTGCAACTAATACCTTAGAATTTACCAACCTAATAATCTAAATGTTCCGCTCGAAAATTTTTCTATTTTCCATCTCGCATATTGCATTTTACATAGAAAAACAAATAAGAATAACGATAAATCTTATATAACTACAAATAACTAGAAAAAAACTTGTTTATCGTTTGAAAAAGGAAATTTAAACGAGGCATGGATTTGCAAATATACTATAATGTCACTAAAAACAATCTATATATAAATACTAACTTTAAAAGTCAATGAAGCCGATCAATTGTCTGATTTGTAATTATGTATAGATTTAAATCGCTTCATAAATATATATTTCTTAATCTTCTTTTTTCAGGAGCTGACGTCCTAGTATCATTTCCGTGTCAAATGCAACGTTACCAACGGAGTGTAACGAACACATAAATTTGTGCAATAAAATAGTCACCGATGAATCTCGTCGGTGGCGCTAGTGTACTAGAATATTTTCCTCGCTATGTCGGTATTTCAGAACAATACGCAAAAATACATTGTACGCGTAATCTATACACATCTTAAGTCTGTGACGTTTATGCTGGTTACCATATTTACTACATAGCTAAACACATAGGTACACGTGTACTTAACCAACTTCACTGTTCTGTAGGCGCATAGCGAAACCTCTGACGTTTTGCACGGTCGGTATTTCAGACTCTTTTATGTTCAGTTTTATTCATAGAATATCAATAAACAAAGGAAACATTGAATATTGATAACAGTGTGAAACACTGTAGGAAAAGTTTTAAAATCCTTTCAAGTTTAATATAATTATTACTCTTAAAGGCATGGTAACAGTCGTTTCTAATTCGAGGCAATTAAAATTGCTCAAGGTCAAAAAATGGCCAAATATAAGCACTAATTTTGTCACATCGACCATTCGATCGTTAATATTCGATGTTACCAACGAAGGACGAACAAAGATAAACAAAGCAACGAACTTGATTGACTTGACATTTAAAGAGATTTATTTTAGAATTAGGAATCTCAATAAATATTTAGCACTAAGCTAACTAGCAATTAAAGCGATCAATTTTTTATAAAAATTCAAACATCACGTTTGCTGAGATTCTAGGAACCTCCTATTCTCGTATCTATGCAAATGCCCAATTGAAAATTCGCAAGAACCTCATTGCGTGAATCTCAATAAACATCGTTTAGCACTATAGCACCTAGCAATTAGAGTGATCAATTTTCTATAAAAATTCAAACATTACGTTTCTATGCATCCGTATCTATGCACTCACGCAAACACAATTGAAAATTCGCAACGTCCTCGCCAATAGAAGTGAGTAAAAAGTAAAAACAAACTGAGTTCACTCGGAACTCTCGTTACATATAGTCGAATCAGCGTTAACTAACGATGCTCGATCGATTCGTTAGCAGGCCGAAATCAATACGAGCGAATACGGAAAAAAGAGAATTCGAGCGATGCCGTGCAGTCGGAGCGTGAAATCGGCGCAATTGCGGTCGCACCCCCGACGCGAAAAATAATGACCCTTTACTGGCAAACAAAACGCAGCAAAGAATAATAGAAAAGAACGAGTAGAAAGGACCGCGGGAGGGTGGGACAGAGAGGCAATGAAAAGAGTCACTCCTGTGGAGGAGCAGACTGCAGGTCGATATAATCCCTCCATTGATTGAAGTCGATGTTCTGTCAGAATTCTCTACCCCAAAGGACAACCTTCGTAGTGGGGTGAACGAATAAGGGAGAGAATACTGGCCGTCGACCCCGCTTTAGTCGCCTCACGAACCGCGTACGTGTCGCGTTCGTGCTTCGCGTAGCCAGCTAGAGCAACCCGTAGATTTCCCTCCGTCGAACGACGACGGTTCGTTTCATTCGACACGCGTTCGGAGACCTCCGCGTTTACCTATCAAACTGAATCGTATCTCCGATAAGATTCAACCTCCTACTCGATATATCTCTCGCGAACCACGTTTCGACGATATTCAACCCTAATTCGGTTCGAACGTTAAACGAATCGCGCTCGAGGGATGCTTTCGAAAACCGAGTCTCGCAAGCTGCACGCTCTACGGAACCTTTCCGACTCGCGATCGCCGACTGAAACTCCGCAGTCGAGGCTGTACCTCCACTACTTCACCGTGCTGTTCTCGATTCTGTACCCTCAGATCTCGTCTCTTCGAGTCAATTCCGAAACTCGAGTTTCCAATCGAGGCTGGTGAAGCGGGCGCGCGGAACGTCGAGGACTCCGTGATTTCGCGGTCTCCGGAAAATGTTCGGCTGCGACGCGAGCATCCCCGAGCCGGTGCAGGCTTCGACCGGGGAGTCGAGGGAATAGGACCAGAGGGATGTTCCGTCGGCGACGCGGCGAGAAATGACGGCTGCCCGTTGACGTTTGTGCCGTCAAGTGCGAGCGTGCCCCGAGATTATCAGAACGAAGTGCCGGAGGGACGGAGAGTGAGAAATGTACCTCGGCCATCGGAAGGATATCGATTCCTGCAAATTACCGCGGCGCGTCCACCGGCGGCACATTTATGTTTTCGCCTCGTCGTCCAGCCCCGGGAAACTCCTCCGAGCGACCGAGGGGATCGTGTGTTCCCTGAATTTATCGTCTCTCAGACACGAAGATGCTCGACGCGACCGCTCCGAACCGTCGCGCGTGCCTCGATTAGCGTGAACAGCCACACTTCGACACGGATGACCCCACCTGGATATGAATTTGAAATCTAAATGGCTCTTCCTTGGAATACTGAATACCATCCTCCTTGAATATGGTAAATTCCTTCTTTTCGTACGCTAAGTCTACGGAACCCGTCGATTTCCAATATGCAATACCTTGGTTTCGAAGCTACAACTTTCCCGATTTATATAAACGAACGAGCGTAGTTCTCTGGGAACAGTAGAATAAAGTGTAGAATTGCAGGTTTAACACCAGAACTACCGTACAAAATGGTTTCGAGTACTGTAATGAATGTCTGAAGAAACTGGAAATAATCTATTGTTACAGGTTTCATAGGAATATTGCATATTAATCGTATTAAATGCTCGGTAGTTCTAGTGTTAATGGATCTTTTATTTAACCAGAGTGTGATAACCTTTTTCCGATACAGTGTTTAATCGATCTGTTGCGCTACGAGGGTAGGATTTCTTTTATCAGACAAATATTCCGGAGAAATATTGAGTAGCTTTTATGTTGAATAGTTTCATATTTTTGTATTTTTTATAGTGGACGAGAATTTGTCGTGTTAAGTCTATCAGTCTATAGTGGATAAAATAGATTTTCTCGTGGAATTGGCAGTAACTTAAAAATGAAGTATCCATGGCAGATCTAAAAAATTCCTGTATTTAAACTATCGAAGATATCAGTTCTCTTATCAATGTGTCTTTCTGCTCGCGTACGATTCAGTGCACCTGCAAATGCTGCAATAAATCAACTGAAGGGATACGTGCTTCGTTATATTTTTCTGCTTGCATTTTCTTTCGATAGATTTTCTGACCAAGTGTCAAAGGTCACGAGAAACGTTGAAAGTGTGTTCCATCACGCACTGAATCGAAAAGAAATAAAATATCGAAACATTAACACGTTGATTGATATTGAAAATAATTATTAATGATTTGGTATTGTAACACTCATATTACAATGTCACCTAGATACAAATATTTATATATAAATATTTAGTATAAATATATAGATGTAAATATTCAATTAATATATAAATATACATGCTCATGTTACTAAATATTTTCATTTGACATCGGTTTCCTTATTGTAAATGTTCTTCGGTAATTTAAAAGCTCCAGTCGTCGGTGACCCCTATGGCAATCGACGCGTTAAGCGTTTCCCATCTGAATTCTGGTTCCCAATTACATTCGGAAAAATTCGAGTTTTCCCAGAAGTCCGGAGACTACGGACTAAGCGTTAACGAAACGAACGATCCAGGTTCCACGAAATCGACGATGGAAGAACCAGAAGAGTTCGCCGGTTTAAAGATTCATTCGCCATCCTCTCACGTCGCTCTTTCCGGGGACCTCACCGTGTTCATCGCGAAGACGGAGCAATTATCGGAAGACGTGTCGTACAGTAACGAGTTAAATAGGGTAGACGGCGAAGATAGCGAGCTACTAGACAATTTTCCTAACGAATCGCCTCTATTGCGGTAAGCCGATGCTAAATCGGGGAGAAGATCGAATTATGCCTCGTCGCACAGTGCCGTTTATGGAGAACACTCGAGAAATTGAATACTATCAGAGATACAAATGAATGATTTAATAATTTCCAATGACAATCGATGAATCTTTATCTTCGAAATGATAATCATTTTGTATGGCAGGTATTACTTAGCAACGTATCGACAATCTTGATTTTTCGTTACGCGAGCAGTCGAATTTTCGGGTTTGTCCAGAGACGGCACTGTGCGTCGTTGGAATATAAAGAAATGTCATTACCTTGGAATCATACTAACCACTCTTATCATTTGTAGAATATTGTACCTCTTTAACGACGTATCACAGTTAATCGGAGAAATTCAATTAGAGAAGTTGCCTTCAGAAAACGAGACCGTCTCGATTGTAATTCCTTGCGGGTATTTCACTCGCGGCGGTATCTACGCTCTGCGATTAGAGTACAAATACAAAAATTTGACAGTGCCTGTTTCCTCCCTTTATCAGGTTCGAAGTATTGCTAATATTTCATCTTTATTATAGATTCGTTCGCGTCGATTGATTTCATTTCTTTCTTTCTTTTTCGAGGGAAACACTGTGAACGCACAGTTCTCTCTGTTCGCACGTTTTCATTTGACAGATCATATCTACGCTCGTGTTTAATTTCAATGCGATAATCGTGTACCATTTGATCCGTAGACGAGTAAAATCCTAGACGTGAAGTGGCCGACGCCGAAAATTTTCTTAGAGTCACAAGTGATCGATACATATCCGAACAAACGTGTTGCGACAACTATAAAATACGACGAGACGAGTTGCAGTCCTTTGGAAAATGTTCCTGTAGCTGTCTACATTTTACAGTTAATATATTGTGGGTCTAGCGTGACTGCTTGTTATTTACAGAATAATACTCACACACAGGTAAACATATAAATAAATTAATGCGGGGATGAATGCGCGAATGGACGATGAGCATGTGTGGATGAACTTGGAATATTTTAGGGTACATTGATTCTTTAAATTGATTCCTCGCTAGTCGAATAATCGTGGTCATGTGGATACATATTGTTAAGTAAGATTAATCTTTGGAACTTGTTAATTTCATCCGATTCTTTAGATTCTCTACTACGAAGAAGTAAGAGGCTTTATTCCGTCGAAGACTGTTTTTTTTCGGTGTGAATTTTTCGGGCTGCCGGGCAACTACGCGATCCGGCTGAAAGCTTCGAATCTGAATCCTACAGCACCGAATACTAGTTTGTATTTCAAGGTAACAAATTCACATTCGTCCATGTACAATTGACTTCTTATTCTTTAGTCTTCCATTGTCTATTCAAGTCAACGACAATACATCATTTCCCATCGAGTAATACATTTATTCGAAGTCTCCAATGATACACAGTGGAAAACTGAATTGTTTAAATTATTTTGACATGTAGCGCTCTTGTAGTACCGATAGTTTCGAGATAGGAAACGGGAAATCGGTGATTTTTATTATGAGCCCAGCGTTGATCATTTTATCCTTTAAAATCGCAGGTGAACTGGTCGGAGGAGTTCAAGCTGACGGTCCACGCGAGATCGATATATCCTTGCGAAGGGCCAGGTGGTGTGGCCGTCCTTTTCGAATATCCTTCCTGTCGCCTGGAAGGCGATCGTGTTCGCGTTTACGGTCGGCTGAGGGCTGATGTCACTTCCGTCGCCTCACCTTCCAGTCTTCACTACATCACCGAGTCGAGATCGATCCCCGGCAAACACTCGTTGACGTTCGATTGCGATCTGTTCACGGAGAAATACGTCGAGTACTGCTTCATCTACGTCAGCCAGGCGATCACGGGCGCTATGATGGACGTTAAAATAACTTGCATACCCACCTTCCCTTTTCAAGGTAGACTTCAATCTTTCATTCTCGACTGCGAGCGTGGAAGTCTTGCGAGAACGCAAGATCTTTCGCAACAATTCAACAAATTAATTATGCTAAATGTACCGGCACTTTGTGTGCACTTGTTTCTAACGGTTAAATAATCGGTTGTGAATGAAGGTAAAGAAATTAACCCTTTGCGGACGAAGACTCTGTAAAGTACACAAAGCTTGGAACATTTGAAGCTAAATTATACATCGAATGCTTAAACAACAGTAAAAAGGGAACTATACACCGATCACTTGCTATTCAAGTAATTAAGTCATTCGTCTGCAACTTAGTATTCCAAATATGAACATTTCATCTGATCGAAATGACGTTCGTTCGCAAAGGATTAAACGGCTTCTCTTAGTAAGAACGGAAAGAAACATTTTAATTAATGAATGTTCACTTGCATAGAAGGCGACATCGCTGGGTGGGGACCTTGGAGTCCTTGGAGTCCGTGCAGCAGCTCCTGTTTCGGCGGAATTCGAAATCGTTATCGCTTCTGCGACACGCCGCCCCCGAAGTACGGGGCTAAATTCTGCCAGGTAATTGATTTCTCGGTAATTAACACTAGAACCACCGGACGAGTCGAAATCACTGATTCCCGAGGTTCTTCGAGGAATTATTAACCCTTAACGGAGCAATGCCGCCGTATAAGCGGCGCGGCAGTGTTACCTTCTGGGTCCGATGCCGACAATATGGCGGCGGAAAACATTTCATTATTTTGATCACTGTTGTTCTTGTGATATTTACAATTAACACGTCGAGTATCGCGTTAGCTCGCACGTTACCGTATTTTCTGACAAGTCAACGTCTATTTTGCTATTGAAACATTGTTTCTCTTTTTATACGCGAATTCGTCAGCGTTCGAACGATTTGTGCGATTCACAGCGGAAATAACGTTTGCTTGTAAACCACACAGGGAAAAGCGGTGGAAACGAAGTTCTGCGGGAGAATATTCTCGGACGATCTGGACAAAAGCGAGTGGCACAATCGAATCGACAGCGGCGACTGCCACGGGGCAGTTTTGGCTGCGACCAAGCCAGAAATTGCGGCTGAAATCGGATCGCAGTGTCGTTGCGGCTGTCGCGTTAGATTAGAGGAGCAACTTTCTAGAAAAATTCTTGGAGCGAATACTCAGTCGTGCCCTGGCCGGTCGTTTTGGCTCTTGCAGGTAATAATCCTCGTTTAGATTATCATTAACGATCGATGTGTATTATATAGAAATCCAATTATCATACACAGATATTATACACAGATATTATACACAGATATTAACCTATAATTGATCGCAAATCTATCTCTGTTTATTTAGGCACGAGCAAACTTCGTGATCGGCTTACACTTAGACCAATTACAATTCCCTTGCCCGGGACAATACTTCCGTGTCCGGGACGGCAACTCTCTGAGTGCGGATCTCTTGACCGACGTTGCCTCGGATAAAATGCAACCCACCGCGAAAACGTTGATCAGCACGGGAGAAAATTTATTGTTGGAGTTTTTCAGCGACGAACTCACGGCTTCCGGAGACGCTTGTATCGGTGGTTTTCTTGCTCACGCTGCCATTCTAGGTAAAATCATGTTTCTTACAAAGAAGATTTCTTCCGCATCGTTTTGAAATAGATCGACGTTTCGTGTATTGAATGCGTTGTGCTTCGATTGCAGATAAAAAGTATTTAAAAAGGAATGGGAGCATAACCGTTGTGCCTTTAGAGATTGACCCGGCGGATGCGGAAAGCGAATGGTTCTTTTGGAAACCAGCGCATTTAGTGACCGCGTTGCTTTTGATACTGATGTTCGTCGTCTCCATTATCTTGACGCTGCAATTTGTTATAAAGTACAGGAAGTATCGTATCGCCGAAGACATGGACTCCTTCAGCGACGTCTCCGGTAAGACATCTTGGCTGGCCTTCTGATGAAATAACTCTAGAATCGATGCCAATCGCCCGAATATCTCTATTTCGATTAGAATTAATGCCCGGAAGATCGAAATTTCTGTCGACGAGCACCATTATATCAGACGTGATATCAATGATAGAAGCGACCGTGAAAGATGCGCCGAAGGACACTGTATGCGAGACAGAAGAACGTTACAACAGTACTGAGACGTTAACCGGGTAAGAATGCTAATGAACTGTCAATAATGCGTCGGTATCGAGTAATCGTGAGTATGGAAAGTTTCTTACAAATTTATATTTTTTAAATCAAACCTTAACAACTACACTCGAAGGAATATTTATTAGCTGTCATCGAATGAACATAGTTAAAGGTCAAAATAACTATTATCTGAAAAATATAGGTACCAAGACGGTTCCACAGTGAGCTCTAGCACGTTGAAGTTGAACAACACTATGGAAAGTTCGTCGGATAAGACAATAACATCGATCAAATCAAACTGTGATAAATTATTATCAGCCTCCAGTATCTTCGTTCTGAAAAAGCCGGAAGTGAAATATGCTTACCCTGTAAAGTAAGTTTCGTTCTTATTCGATTCTCTTTAGAATTTAATCGGTCAGATGCCAACGTGGTTAAGCGCATCAAAAATCGAGATAATTCATGTTTTCTAAGACGTTGGTTTTATAAACTTTTGGTTTATCAATTTTAATAGAAAAATATATAAAGTCTATCTCAAAGGGTAGGCTCTGCAACAATAGAATATTCTTTACCCACTAAAATTGTAAAAAATCAGCAAATATAAATATCGCATTCGCTTCTGAGACTCAATTGTCATTCATACAATTCAAACGTGTGTACATTAAGCATAGATATTTCCTCCGTGAAATATTTCCTCTATTGAACATTTACTGAAACGGTCATCATCGACACAGATTAGAAACGTGTTTAGTTTTTTTAAAGGATTTCAGTACATTCCCATAATTAATACTGAAATCAATAACGCGAAACTTTCACGGTATAATTGCTACACAGATTGCGGACGATAGACTTCGATAATTCAGAAGCGAAGCCATTGAAGTTAGACGACGAGAAACTCCAAAACGACAGAAGCAATTTGAATACGAGCCAGAGTAACGAGACGAACTCCTCGAACGAAGAGAAGGTGTGTTTCCGAACGTCCAACGGATTCTCCTTACTTTTTTAACACTTAGGCGACTGCCTAAAAAGAATAGTGTTAATATACAATTATTCTGTTATTCATTTATACGTGTTCGTTGATCGACCGCACTTTCCCAAGCAGCAGCAATCGTCTCCGGAAAGCGTGCTTTCCAGTCCGTCGACTTTAGGGAGCGGAAAGGAGACGAAAGAGAGAAGGAACCGCGAGAAACTGCTGCAAGGGCCAGGCTCGGAGTTCAGTTTAGCGAATCCCGACTCCGAAATGGAAATAGATTATTACGATTACAACGTGGCGAATGCCAGCGCCGTTCCTGGATCCTATTTAGGAATGGATCCCGCTTTCCTCGTGTGGATACCGCCTGTCGACGAGTTCAAGCTCGACGCGGATGAACTGATCTTAGGGTAATTATCATAATTATCCTAGCAATCGTTGTTCTAAGTGGTAAGTGGCTGATACTTTGAAAATGACGATCGAACAAATGTACAAGCCCGATGTTAACCTTTTGCGGAGGGATGTTTCTTAATAGAAATATTTAACATTTCTTTACGAGGCGAAGACGATCTTTGAGACTAATTCAACGACTAATTCGAAGAGAAATCACAGCAATGCTGTTTTATTCCAATGTTTCACGTATCGAGGCATTATACGAAGTTTAACATTAAATATCACATTCTATAGTTTTACTGTGTCAAATCGAGTGGTGACTGAGAGTCACTGAAATGTTCATGTTTGCGACACTGAGCAGACAAATGATTTAACCCTTTGAACTCTGTAGGCTCCAATATTGCACCAGTTACGATATTAAATATTTTAACGAACCTTATAGAAACTACCCTAAAATTATTAAATTTTCCACACATCCAAATTTTTCACTGAGAAGGAAAATAAAAGATCGAAAAAATGTTATAGCATTTCTTATTTTCGCTGGGAATATAAAAAAGTAATTATTGAATGCCGTCGCATTATAGTTCACTCAGTTAAACCATGATTATTCGGAAAGATTTCTATATTGTAAACAATGCTGCCTAACGCGGTGACACTCAGCTAGATGAACATGCAGCAATAATGCAATTCAATCGAATGATTTAATATTGTATTCGCTCGATTTCGGTATTTTACTCTGTGAAATTATTTATCCAGGTTGCGTCTGTAATTTCTGTGTTACGTATCGATCGACGTGGCACACGAACGTGCCACTAAAATACCAGAAGGCACGCGACAATTAGATCCCAGCCGTATACGGGCGAACGATGCTATCGTGTCACGCGAAACGCGAAACGCGACCCGGTGGGACTTGCGCCGGACATTACGCTGCAGCTAGCACGTTAGGGGGTTCAATTTACGGCGACCGACCCTTGCATTTATTCGGAATTCTTTGCGTTCTAATTCCTTCGTTGCAGTACTTGATTAATTAAACAAAATGGTTGACCATTTCGATAATTAGCACCACTGTGGAACGTATCGTTACTTTTTGTTGTGCTCGTTATTTTTATTGTTTTGGTAATGTGTGACTTATTTAATGTATACTCTTTTGTTTGAAATTGTATTCGATGTATTCTTGTTTTATTGTTGTTTTCATCGTATTGATAATGTATTTATCGAATTGAGAGTTTTATAGATTCATAGATTCATAGATTCACAGATTCACAGATTCACAGATTTATAGATTCATAGATCCATAGATTCATAGATTCATAGATTCATAGATCCATAGATTCATGGATTCACAGATTCATAGATTCATAGATTTATTCGAAACATACTCCTTTAAATGATCTCAATTTATCAAACTCCACTGAATTATTTTGTGATTTCTTTAAATATGCACCTTTTACCATCCCCCAAAGCGATAAGATTACCAAGTAATAGTACCAGTTAATATAAATTTCTTTACAGAAGCAAAAGGAATTCTATTTTGACTCTCGAAACCGAAGGCGCCGCGTTAACTCCATCCGAGTACAGAAGAATGAAGTTATCCAATTTCGAGGATTTCGGATTTGACTTGCAACAAGGGTAAAAATTCAAATGTTGATCCTAATGTCTCATTGATTTTACTCACAAACATGCATCATGTTTATTGTTGAATAGAAACGAAAAATGAGTAGCATGTAGTAAGTGTAACGGTTAGACTGCAGAATTTATGCGGTTATAACAGGAAAAGAATATTAATCGAGATCCCATATAATTGTTATTTCTTTAGAGCCTTTACTAGACTTTAGAACTTTTCGTAGTATTTAATTACGCTAAGAATTATCCGAGAAAAATCACTAAATTTCCATAAACATCCGCAGTCTAACGATGTATCCAGGCCCTATGCAAACGATGAGCATCCAAATTAACGATACAACTATCGAATCAAATGTTACTCAAATTTCATTCGAATAAGAACGTTGAAACCGTCGGAACAAACACGGTTCGACGAACGTTCGGTATTCGATGAATTTCAGCGTGGAATAAAACTGAAATTAACATCGATAAATTGTTGCATGAACGATACGCGTAATACTACCACTCGACAAATGAACTTTGAAGCTTTATGTTCCCTGTAAACGATGTGTCCCATTGCCTTGCATAAAAGTAACTAAGTTTTTCCTGCTAGCGACAGATATTTGCATACAGGGGAGAAATACTGCCACAATTTTAATTACGTAAATCTAAATCGGGACGACCCCTCTGGAAATTCGAAAGCGAGAACATACGAAAAATTATTTCCCGTTCGAAAAATTCTGGAAGATTCCAGCGTTAAAGTCAGCATGGAATCTATATCTGGCGCTCTTGAACATAAACAGTATTGCGTTATTCCGAACAGGAGGTGAGCTAATAACAATTATTTACGTAAATGTCGCTTTTGTGGTGCGCAAAGCTTCTTAAACGGACGACGAACAATCGTTCCTCTCTTTGAGCTAATGTGTGAAACTTTACAAATGATTACGTCTATCGATTTAACCGTATTCGCGATTCTTTCTCTTCTATGCATCGAATAAATGTAAAATCATTCAACGATAACATTACCGTAGAAACATTACGATCTGCTAACGCTAACCAACGAAATTTCTCACGATCAACTCGAAATTGTTCAAGGATCGAGCTCACCCTTTCAAAATTGTCTCGCGTTCGCTCCGAGATCTCGCGCACGCACTTCGCGTAGTTCCGTTGCCATCAGAATTTTCGAATTAGAAATCTTTTCTTGTAAATCGATGTTCCTTCTACTCTGTTGTACTTCAAGTTTGTGCATGATCTGTGTGTGTGCGCGTGTGTCGTTGCTCCTCGAACAGCATGTATACTTTCCCCTCAATGTCCACCTGTCGATCACTCTGTAAACAATCTTATATCTACCTGCAAAATACATGTTATAACAGAACCTCTCTTTTCGTCCGTGGAAGTAGTTGTTATTGTTATATTATTATTACTATCACCATCGAAGCACAGTCCTACGCTCCAGATGAACAAATAAATTACTCAGAAGCCAAAGGTTAAGTCGATTTGTCGATATTTTCTGATTTTTCTCCATATTTATGAAACAAATAACGTTCTGTTCAGTTATTCGAGGCTTATATTGGAAATGGCTGATTAACAGAACAGTACATATCTGACAGTGTCACTTTATTATAACTTTGAAAAACACGTCTAGGTCTTTCAAGTTCTCGAATGCGAATGAAACGGACCCGAAAGTAAGTTGGGGTGCGGTTTTGATTGCCTATCGCCTTTTAGACTAAAGATATCTGGCTGCCTTTCTATCGCCTTTGTTTAAACTAAAGATACACAAACGTTGAGCATTTTTGCTTTCGCTAGCTTAGCATCAGTAATAATTCAACAGCTTCACTCGTCTCTTCGTTTTCCCTAGATTAGAACGCCCTTCTTATAGCTCCCGACATGTTCTACACTAATTTCAGAAGCCGAACCATTAATTTTCTCAATTTTCCTCTCCGCGCTTAACCGCAGGCTTCCGAGCGACTCGAATAATTTCCCAAGGAACATTGCGTTCCCTTAACCCTTTCGTTACGGCAGTCTGCTCCGCTGGAGTGACGCCACTGTACGGAACTTAGGTCTTTCAACGCTACGTTGTCATTCGTATAACATATTTGGAGATTTTGCAATTATTATAAACAAAAATACAATTACCACGTTGACCATGTTGTACCACGCTGACGCTCGTACGCACAGGTCATCGCGTGGATGCCGTCTACGTCCGGCGCTCGTAACGAAAGGGTTAAACACACCGTCGAAACTTTCCCCTCGACCAGTGACCCGAGGAACGTTCGTTCACCGTTTGCACTTTCCTCCCCAGGGTGCGCACGGACAAAGAGAGCGAACCCTGCGAAGAGTCGAACTCGCCGAGAAGCGTCGGCAGCCCCATAAGCGGGCACGGGGAGTCCCGCAAAGACAGGTCGATCTCCGCGCCGAGAAAAGCACTGCAGGAGGAAGCTCTGCTGTCGAAGGCGAAGCACGGCCCGAAGCAGAAAACGATCTCGCGAGGCGCGGAGGAGGACGAGAACGTGTCGTGCAAGTACAAGGAATTGACCGAGTGCGCCGAGCCGTTGGTGCACAAGAAGGACATGGTGAACATACCGATGACGGAGCTGTCCGGCAGTCCACTGACCAATTTCGCGCAGGTGCGCAAGCTGAACAACAAGGAGGCCGACAAGCCGTTCAACGTCGAGACCCACCATTACGGGATAGAGACGTTCTGCATGAAGCAGGGCTCGTTCTGCGATCAGAACATCAGGTTCGTCGACGACGACGACGACGATTACATCGACTGAACGTGAAATCCGTCGGGTTTCGGTCACCGAAGTTGACGCTTCGACGCTCAAATCGGCTCTGGACGAGATTTCTTTTTTGTTCATTCGTTGGCTCTTGGGGAGATGGATTTCAGAGAGCAGGAGGAAATTATATTTTTTTATTTGAAATCCTAGGAATGTATGTCATTGTCCGATTACACAGGCTGTAAGAACTTTTTGTTTTTATCACGTGTAAGGACATATCACTTTGGCTAGTTTTTCTTTTGCGGAATTCGTTGATTCGTCCTATTGGCTCATGCGAACCGAAGAAATATATATACGAAAGATATAATTTTCAACGGAAACAAGAACGCGAGCGGAAAGGAAAGATCTCGTATCCGAGACAGATGTTCTAAACTAACCACGGAATTGATTGCAATAAAAGTAAATAGTTTTAGACTCGAGTACGATTCCGGTGCGATTAAGTATTCTTAAGATCGCTGACAATTGCTGGAATCGAAGTCCAATCGTGTGTACATAGAAGCAATTATATTATTATCGGTATAGTAAAAATAGTACAAATTATACGGCACAGTACAATTATCCTCGGAACTCGATTATTTATTTATTTATATATTTATACACTGTGACAGACTTCTAGGAAGTACATAACAATCTGACATGGCAATGCACCGAGCATCTAGAATAAAGAATAAAGAATATTGAATTTAAACTACCCATATCGCTATTAAGGAACACAATGAACTAGTCGTTGCTAAACTTAATATTTTCTAATGGAATCCACTTTTTATACAAACTGTTCGTCGACGGAAAGAAAAAAAAATTCAGGAAATTCATTTCGATTATCTCGTGTACTTCGTACGTGAATATATTTCTATCGATTTCATATAGAACTATAGAATGTAATAAAATCGTGCGCAATGTGCTATGTATCTAGGTATGTATGTAAATGGTTATACACGTTTAGGAGTTTACTCGACGTTCAAATATACTGCGGTTCATTTTGTATTAAGCAACGTACGAATTATAGTTGCCGGTATATAAATGTATTTAATGTAAAAAGTTTCTATACTTCGTTACGTATTAAGTTATCGAGTAACTACCGAGTCCAGCCTGGATCGCGTGAGTTTTTCAATTTATATAACAACTCGTCAATTTTCTATCAACACTATCGTCATTAGATTTTTCGATTAGTTCGTCGTCCCATATTTTCGATACGTAAGTGTGACTTCATATATTACGCTACACGATCAACGTTATTATTCTCGCGAACGACGCGCCGTCCGTTGCAGCGAACCTGGCACTTTCTTCTGAGTGGTCGGATTCGGAGGAGCACGCCTCTCCTACACGGATTTTCGATTCTGCCGTATGATTCGCCGAGTCGCGCGACAGAGAGCGCGAAGGGCCGCCTCCGGACTCGCGATTGGGCGTCTCGGAGCGACTGTCTCCGCCCCTGTGACGTCACGAGTGCCAGGTTCGCTGCAACGGCGGTACATGCGAGTTGCTCGGAAGCCAGTGCGATTAAGTCGATTTTCTGATGTTTTCTGATTAGTCATTAACACTCTCCGTGCCGCGTGGGGCGTGTACGAGCCACGCTGAATTTTTCGTTCAGACCAGAAATGAATTTCTCATTGAAAAACGAAGAACTTTTTAAAAATTGATGGTAGAGTCAAATATAGGCATCTTAATTTAATTTTATTTAACCCTTTGCACTCCGTAGGCGCCTTTCAGTCGCCATTTGATTTGACACAGAAAAATTATAGAGTTCGACGTTTAATATTAAACTTTGTACAATGCATCGACATGTAAAATATTAAAATAAAGCCTCTTTCTTTAATTTATGTGCGATTTCTCGTTAAGTCAGTTCGAAAGAATGTCGTTGGTATTTGATTAAAAAATGTTGAGTATTTCTAATGAAAAACTTCTGGAGTGCAAAGGGTTAATTATAAAAGTGTGGGACATATACGCCCCGTTTTTCCTAAGTCAGAAAGCACTTTTGGTTACAGCTTCTGAGTATGTTTTACAATCATTTCAGAAGACAGAACAGGAATTTTCTAAATTGCTTTCCGAATTTGACCGCACTGGCTTCCGAGCGACTCGTGTATGTATGTAGTTGTACATAACTCGCCTCACAATTGGGAACCATTGCTGGAAAACGTCTCTCGGAGCGCAGTTCGGAAAAAAACGGAAGTTCGTGTCATATCCGGTGTATTTTCTAACACTTTTAACGATAACGTCGCAAGTACTTTTACCACTTAAGCGATCGCGTGCAATCAAGAGGATACTTTTTATAATAAATGTCATTATTAGGAAGTCAAATAAATTACGAGCTGCGATAATGGAAAAATTTATTCGTACTCTGATCATTTGTTTAATCACGGTTTCACACACTGACGGTACACTGGCTAACATACGAGTCGATTAATCAGTTGATACATCGACGTACTGATTAAAAGTGAACACTTTGTCGCAATTCGAAGATAAAGCGAAACGTTGAAGCTCTCGTTGCAATTAATTCGCATCTCCTTGTACTTACACTACCGAATTATCACGTTTACGTAACGATCCTGAAACACGATCGTTTTCTTTACGGGAAAGAAGAAGCTTTCTTGAACGCCAATAGTGTTTTATTTCATTGTGTTCGGAGAATATACGTTCGTCCATTCGATAAATATTCGATAGCACGCGTGTCGCGTAGAAAGTACAATAGGCCGGTCGATCGCCGGGATTCTCGGGAATATCAGAGGTGAACCGAAAGCTTAAGTGTTAACGAACCCCTCTAAATACGCGTATATGAACACTTTTCATTGTTTCAACATTATCTCAACATTAACATTACGTCAACACGTTTTAGAAACACCTGCGTGAATCCACGAAACTAGGCATCGTTACTGTTCAAACATATTTATAATACAACGTGAATATTTATACCGTTGACATCTTAAAATAAAGTATCACACTATAGGTACGATAATACGTGCAATACCAATTTATTATTCGGTACAACTCGACGCTACAGCCATCTTGTCGCGCCAACTCTTCGCGCCATTCGAGTCTGATGCTCAACGAAAAGGAATCGCGAGACAACAAGTCAACGATTTAACACTTTGACTGCCACCTCGTCCGAATTCGGATGACACCATTTTTTACGTAAACTCAAACATTAATTTTCTCGGTGACGTTTCGAACGAACCGAATTTTGTTGCATGAGATATAAGAGGGACAACAGAGCAGTCGTTATAAAGAACCTTGACTTTTTAGTTTCTACTTTATTAAGAAAATTATTTTCACCGCATAGGTATTCCAATGAGCGTTTATTTGGCAGTCAACGCGTTAATCCGTACATTTGTCCTTTGAAAATCTTGCCAATTACGTTCGATCAGCGGCTCGTCCTTTGAAATTCTAAATACGCGCAATGTAGCTTCGATAAAGTATCAAAGATGCTTCGAGAATTCAGACGAATGCGAGACACGAGAAATATCGGTAATTGTCGGATTGATAACGTGTTTGTAGATCGAGAAAAAATATGCGCGAGCCGCTGTTGCTTCCCATTGATGGAATTCGATAGAAAAATGCTGTGAAACACGAGAAATATCGTTAATTGTCGGATTAATAACGTGTTTGTAGATCGAGAAAAAATATGTGCGAGCCGCTGTTGCTTCCCATTGATGGAGTTCGATAGAAAAATGCTGTGAAAGGTCGTTGCACAAGAAATGCTTACGCGGTATTTTACGGTAATTTCCTTACGGTAAGAAAGTCTTTCGGAATACACTTATACGTTCCCTTAAACGTTAACCTCGGATCAAGCATCCACGCTTTACGACGATTAATACTGTTATCACATCATGAAGTAGATACTTAGTTAAGCGAAAGTTCGTTATAAAGTCGTTACACGTACATGTATATACACAACGCAGGCTAATCAATCGTAAGAAACGAGGCTTATATACATTCAACGGAAACAAGTGAGAAACTCACGACTTACGAAATTACGTCCTCGTCGTTTCGCTTCGCTACCAAATCATCTATAACATACCTATTGTCATTCGTGGAATCGAGAAACCATTCTCAACGATCTAGAAGCTCTCGTTCAAATTCAAATGATCGTATCGCTACATCGTTGCGCGTTATCGTTTCATCGATGCGTCGAACGCCGCACGATTTCACGTGGAAACATTCACGAAACGAATAAAATTTAATATCAAATAATTTGATATTAAAAGTGATCAGTGTTTCCCAGCAGGGGGCAATTTGATTTTTAAAGAAGGCAATTTGAAACTTGGAATATCATTTCATATGTTCCACAATATTTAACGTAAACAAAATAGCAAAACCATGGTAATATTGAAAATGATATATATGTTACACAGGGGGCAATTTGATTTTTAAGGGAGGCAATTTGAAACTTGAAATACCATTTCATATGTTCCACAATATTTAACGTAAACAAAACAGCAAAACCATGGTAATATTAAAAATGATATGTACGTTAAATAGGGGGGCACAAGAGTTTCATGGCACAGAAAAGCTTGGGAAACACTGATCTACTCGGAACGAGTAAGAAATAGACGCAGGAAGACGAACGAGCGTATAGCGAGCGGCCAGTTTAGCCTGGAGTTTGCCAGAAACGTTCCGGGACACGCGGGAATGATAGCTAGGGGTCTCTCGATGTTCCTCGACAGTTCCATTTCGTCCTCTAATCTAAGTATAACATTAACAAATGTAAATAGTCTCTATAAAACACGACTAACTCGTAGAACACGAACGCGTTGCTGTAAATTTCTGTAAAACGCTCGAACGGAATTCACGTATTACGATCATTTGTTGACCTCGAGCGTCAACGAGGTCTCCGGCTGGGTCCAGATGTAGCCGGTCCGCGTGATGCTGCAATGCGCGTCGTAGTATCTACCGGGTGCACGGCAGTAGGACCATCGCGGGCAACGGCACCGAAATTTACTGTGGAACTCCTCCTTGCAGACCTCGTTCCACCAGCAAGTCCGCTGTAACGTGAAATCCTGTACGATCTGTTTCATTTGCTCTCGCAGCCAACAACGTTGTCAGAGCAGTAGTTTCGACGCTTTCACGGCCTGGAGTGTTACATTCGTTTCTGGCCAGCTGGGCCAGCAATTGGTCAGCTGAACAATTAAAATAACTGGTGACCGTTGATCCAGAACATGAACAGGGTACGTATTTAAAGAGACTCTTCCCTGACACACATCAGTATCAGTGTACTTTTAGCCCCCTGATGAAGTCAGCTGCAATGCTGCCGAAACGTTGGGAACAAATTCCTAGTGGACACGGCTCTCACCCGAAAGCCAGAAATGAATGTAACATTGTTAGAATCCTGATATAACAAGAGAAGCTTTTCAACCAGCACACGCTGATTTAGATGAAACTCGTGCCGTAGATCTCAAGACAATGGACAATGGTTTTATGAGTATAAGTGCAGTGTTTTCTATGGGTAGCCTATGGAGGGAAACTTTCTCGAGAAAAATTAGTCTAAGGGTAGTTTCGATCCTCTTATTCTGCTATATCCTTGGTGATCGAAGATACTAGGAATTAAGAGATAAAACCGGACGAATTCCTCAGTCAAGTGATCTCCTAGCAGAACATACGAAAATAATGGAATATTTGAACACATTCGAGGCCGATACGAACGCGTTAATATACTCGACGTACAAACTAACATAATGTCACGCTACATTCGATACACGGCTCCCAAAGGAAAAATTCGCAAAACGGCCGAATCACAAATTGAATAAAACTGGCACTCTGAAAATGCCAGGAACAAATCCGACAATCCTCGGAGCTGATCGCCAACGCAACCGTCAAAACCTAGCAGCTCAAAGATCACTTGACACTCGATGCACGACTGGGCCAGGATGAGATTTAGTTTATTCGCATTCCGCTTACCTCCGCCAAGTAGCCTCTCACACTTTGATCGCTGTAATTTCGCTTTTTAATTAGGTGCTTCGCAGTTGTCGTGTACACGTCAGCGCAGAGTACCAGTATCAGTAACAGGTGTAACGCTAATCCCTCCTGCGAAGACGAATGATCAGTTTAGGGTATTTAGCCTTTCAGCGTCCTTCGGTTTCGCATGGGAAAAGTCGAGACCGAGCGATTTAGAGAACGGAAGATGGATGGACAGAAAGGGACGACACAGAAGGAGAACGAAAAATGCTCGAAAATTTGGACGTGACGGTTGAAACGGTGTAACGACGCAGTAGGTTCGCTAGTTCGACGAAGACTCACATTGTCGCGCATTTTGACCGGTTCGGTCCTCGTGGAAATACCTTGTCGCACAGCCGTGTCGGGAATATCACGGGGGAAAAGGAGATGTGTCACAAGGCTGGCCGCATACTTCGTTTTCGCTGCTGCACGTTTTGTACGAGCACTTGAAATAAAAGAGTATGCTACGTGTGGCACGCGGCGCATGCGTACGGCCCGGCTCTTCCTCTCCTGCGTATCCGCGAATCGATCGTCGCGAAACTTTCAATTTTTCCACGGCAATCTTTTTCCCCGATCGCGACAACCGCGAGTTACTCGACACCCGCGCGATCCGATTTTACCGGAAACCCTGCGGAATCGATGCCGAACGGATTAAGTCGTAGCACGCAGTCGAGGCTAACCTACAAAATGTTCCTTTTAAATTCGAAGTGAGAGTACTTTTAGTTCGTTGACGGTTTCACGCGTGCACCACTTTGGCCGCGAGGGTTTTACAGGCTGAATGTAAATATATCTCTTTTTCTTTTATATTTACGAAGATCAGTTCTGTTCGGTATTATTACGATTTATTTGAAATGATTGAACTTTCAAATTTACAGAATTATTATGAATGTTGTATTACCACGTGTTCAAAATGTTTTCAGTATTTTGTATAATGCGAAAGAAATGCAGGTGAGCTTAAAGTTGTGGCAGATTTTTCTTTCTGAACATTTTTTCCTCTCCACTTTCATCGATGTTTAAACGCTGTGCTTAGATTTAAAGGATTTCAAGTGAAATAAATAAATATCGTGTTTACAAAGATTATGGTTGTTCTGATATTTATAAGAACTTGAGAATAATAATTTTTGTTATTTTAAAAAATATTATATAATAAATAATTATGTGTATTAGTTATCATTCTTAGTATTTTTAAATTATTATTAGTAAAAACGTAACGAATAAGGTTACGGTTAATTCATATTTACTAAAATTGTTATTGAAGTATATTTTAGATACAATATTATTTGTATACACAATAACTTAATTAACTTATTTATATACAAATTCACTTAATTTTTATTTTTACTATGAAACACAGACCACTGCAATAATTAAATGAATAATAAGTATTATTTACTAAATACAGAATGTTGTTGAATCTGTTTTATCATGGGTTTCCATCATAACAATTTGATTTCCGCTGAATATGCATTTTGTTATAAAGTATTTCTGTCTATATGCAAACAACTCAAATGCATTGTTCACTGGAATGTCGAGTTTAATTTTTATTTACGACTGAACTGTAACATTAATGGCTAATAAAGCGAACAAAATTTAAAAAACGGAAACAGTTTGATTGTTTACATATCTTAGACGTCAAGTACGAAACTTGTATATAATGTCCGGTAGCACGGTGAACCATCGTTTGTTATGTTGTATAATATTTTTGTTTATTAATGAAATTAATGTTTTTCAATCTGTATTGCAGGTTGTGAGTGAAAATACGTTTATACAAGTTCGTTTTTGAAGCATATGTTTTTCTGATAAATATGGTAAACGTCGTCGAATTAAACATTTTGAAAGATAACCTCTATTTTGTGTATCACAAGTATCGTATGTATTTTTACATGTTTAGTTTTCTGAAATTTTGTAAAATTTCTAGATAAACTATACAAGTTATTTGCACAGCGTTAAAACATTGTTTTGTTTAAAATCTATATAATCTGTGTGCTACGAAAACTATTATAAATTGGTTAAAAGCACATTGCATCGTTTAAACCAAATGTATTTGATGAATTTTCTAGTTACTTGTCAAATAAATTCAAACACAGCGACTTGTAACAATGGAATTGTCAAAAGATGTGATCGAAGGTCTGTCAAATATCTCAAATGTAAACATTATTGGCGAAGATAATTTCCTACAAATCTTGGACACTGTTATTTCTCATTTGCAGGAAAGTATTATAGAAACAAATTGTAAGTATGTTTTCCTGATATAGTGGTAAATAATATTAAATATTACAAAATTATTTACATGGATAAAATTACAGGCATCGTAAAGGCAGCAGATTCGAAAGCTATTTTAACAAAGAAGATCTTCGCCGACGTATTATGTTTGTTCGTAGAAGCAGCTCAACACGACTTAGACGAAGAAAGTTTGAAGAATTTGCTACATCAGACGTGTACTAACGAACAGAGAAGAAAGAAACTATGCGAAGCATACATTAATAACAAAAAAACAATACAGTCTCGACTGGAATTGATAGGCAATAATCCGCCACATATCATCGATGTGGATTGGCATCTAGACTATCGCGTCAAGGTAATCGATCGGTGAAGAGAACACCGAGCGTTTGATCCACTGACGCTTTATTCATATAAAAATGATTTTTTAGTTGGACACGTGCAATTCACTGGGTGTTCCTCTTTATCATGTAAGACTTAGTACTAAAGAACATGAAAGGATAAATCATATAACATTCTCATGTACAATACAACAGCTGCAAGAACTAGTGTTTAAGCTTAAAGATGCTATCAGATACTCAGAGAAACTAACTAATGTGTAACTCTATAATTTTAGTTATTGGTTTACTTAATACAGTGTGTACACATGTATGATGTCTTAAGAGTTTGATAGAAATATTTTTTATAGGTGCAAATATCACGTGATACAATATATGTGTGAATAATCGTCAACACACCTTACGACATTATACATGTTCCGTTGAACATTTACACAAGAATTATTATGGTAATCGTTTAATAATAAATTCAATTTTATGCATATAAGTGTAATGGTAAAATCTTATACAAATAACAGACTGTGTAAAGTATAATCAACTATATTTTCATAATTAAAACATTCCCTACTTCACGTAGTATTATTACTGTATTGATAACACGCGCGCGTGTGTGAGAGCGTATGTGCGCGCGCACACAAACATACGCGGAACACTTGCATAAATTCGAAAACAAATGACGATCAACGTTTTTATAAATAAAACAAATCTCGAAAAACTTTATTCAAACCGCTTCAGCTAAAACGATATTGAAAATTTCTTCGCGCTGAAATTATACATACTCGTTTCCCATTCGCATCGTTCGCCCATTCACTCACTCAGGTACACCTTGTATACAAAAGAGCCGCGCGCGCACACAACCAATAACTTATTAAAAATACATCGCCTTTTGCTCTACAGTCAGACATCTCTCTAAAAATTGCTTTCTCGTAATAGACAAAAAAATACTATCAATACGTTCTTACTTGCTAAAAATATGCGTGTTAAATTATATTAATAATAGATAATTTTTTTTTTATATCTAATACATGATATAGATTTCTTTGAATCATTA